GTATCACAGAAAGAACTCTGGATACACCAAGGCCTTGTCACATGGAAGTGTCCATGCTCTAAAACTTGCCACTTACAGACTTTAATTTCACAAACTTTCTACTTATAAAGTCTCACAAATACAAACTCAAGTGCTTCAACTCTGCCTAATACCATCAGCTGGCACGGAAAAAACAACATTTTCATCTTAGCTATCACCGTGCTTAGCAGCCTAGGGCCGTGGCCTTCAGAAGGAGGTCACAGGAGCAGCAGCAGCAGCATGTGGCAGTTTTTCAGAAAAGCACAGCCCTGGGCTCCAGTCCACATACCCCGAATCAGAAACGCTGGAGAAAGCGGGGTGCCAACTGTGGTACAGGCTCTAGGTTTGAGAACTCCTATGGTATAGGGCATTTCCCATCCCTGTGCTTGGTTCTGAAGCCATCTAAAAACCAGCTAACTCCATCACGATCAATACAGGTAGAAATTAATAATCATGTCCAAAGAGTGAGTAAGAAGAGATAAACAAACATTATAGAAACCAAGGCGGAGACAATGTGTAACAAGACAGTGAAGACAAAAGAGCAGAGGCTGCACGTCTGATGGTAATGACTCATCCACCTGTGGGAACAATTCTGAAAACACGGAGCTGCGCAACGTCTGAGATGCCTGCGTGAATGACAGCGACAGTCAAGACAGAAGGAAAATGACTGCCAAATATCAGAGCAGCATGAGCACATGGCCCGAGGCTCAGCACCATCAGCAGTCCAGCTGGCTTCACGGGGACTCAGCCAGTACTGGGAGGACATGCAGGCTGAGTGCAGGGCAAAGGCTTGGAGGGAGATGCTGACCCCAGGGACGGTGTCCCAGAGGTTAAAAGCTCTTTGAAACTGTAAAATATCAACATTTTGGTTTATATGGGTAAAAGAGGGTTAGGCAGTTCTCCTAACCATGTGGGACTAGGGGAGAAGTCAGCCAACCCCACAGCTTTCCAGACAGATGAATGAGATCTATTTAGATTAAAAGATGCCTGCCAGAATGCAGACGGTATCACTGAATAACGTGTGAAGAACTTGTTGAATGGGAACCTGAACTGCTATGCAAAAGTTCACCAAAAACACAATAAAACAATGAAAGGAAAAAAGAAAAATGCCTAGCGGAAGGGCACCAGTAAGGAAGAGCAATGACGTCAGGTTTTAAAGCACTGACGACCCATGTCACATTCCCATGTACAAGCTTAAAAATCCAAGCAGTAGCTGTGGATCTACCAACCAATGGGTGTATGAACCGACTCCTGCAACCAAATGCACCCACAGGATCTACCGTGTAGACTCAGGGCTGTTAAAAATTCCGCATTCAAAATGCATAATCCCACCCCCTGCCCCCTGAGAATCTGATTCATTCGACTGGGGAGGATCCCATTTTTAACAAGCTCCCCCAGGGATGCTGAGGCAGATGGTCCCCGGATCACAAGGCCGTTTGTCAGGACTGGAGAACAATCGGAGTTCAGGGCATTACTGAGTTGCTGCCTACACTTCACAGACATTGAGGGGGAAAGGCAGCCTGAAACCCACAGCACTAGCCGCCAGAGCCCCGATTTAGCACTTGTTCCCACAGTACAGGCCAGGAAGGCAGCAGTACATGAGTAACGCGTTATATAAGTAGCTTTTCTGTATGCAAAACCTTCATTCACCAAAGAGATATTAAAGCCATATAAAAGCAACAGCCCAACGCCAACAAATGCCGTGCCATCAGCCAGGATCTCTTCACCCTCTTCTGAAGAGTAAAGAGGGGCCTCCCTGCACTGAAGACTTGCTGGCACATCCTGAGGACTTGGGCCTGGATCCTTCAGTCCAGGTCAGGCACAGACTAGTGAGAAGGCAGGGCAGGAGACGGGTGTGAGGAGGACATCATAGGCTTGAGAGTGGCACTAGTTTCCTCAAGGTGTCCCTCTGGCCAAACACAAACAGAGCCATGCTTTTTCTTGCCTTCACCTCTGATCTCTTGCTGGAAAGTTACAGAACCACAAAGCCCCTTTGTCTTAAATCTTGTCCAAGAACTCCAGACTATTCTTTTCAACTTATCTTGCTGGCAAAGGCTCTCAGTCTTTACCTCTTCCCACTTCCCTGAAGATGCAGAAAATAAGCTAGTTCTAACCAGGGTGTCAAAAGCTGATAGTGGTTAAGACATTTATCATGCCATGATCACCAAAGGCACAGATGCAGGTATGGCAATGATACACCATGTGTGCCACTGAGTCGGCCTCAGAAGCCCTCCCGACATGGGGGCTGAAGACAGCCACTCCCCACCAGGGACAAGTCTTTAACTCCCCTGTTCTTATTCTATTCCAAGCACCTAGCATAGTAATTAAGCCTAGCATGCACTCAAAAAATAAATACTGAATTAAATTCACACACAGGGGTGGATTACCCAGTCAGCAAGGTAAGGGTGAAATGTTCACCACACATCAGTAAGTAAGCACACACAAGCTCATGCTTACCTCACTGACTGAGTACTCTGTCCTGTCAGAGACTGTAATTTTGACATGAGGTTTTCATTCTGTAGGAACTTGCTGTAAGGTTGGAAGAGAGACAGATGCCAGCCTTCCCTAGAAGCAGAATCTTTGATGTGGTGAAAACATGTGATGCTATTCACTACAGGAAGGTCTAGAAAAGCATTCTGAAGTGAACAAGATGAACACTTCCATCAAGAGATGAATGGATAAGCAAAATGTGGCATATACCAGCAACGGAATATTACTCGGCCATAAAGAGCAACAAGTCCTGATACATGCTACGACATGGGTGAACCTGGACAGATAATGTTGACCAAAATAAGTCAATCACAAAAGGACACATAGTGTATGATCCCACTTACATGCAATATCTAGAATCAACTTATTAACCCATCACTGTTAAGTCGAATTCCCAACTCATCCCTACAGGACAGAGTAGACCTGCAATCTTTACAGGAGCAGAGTGCCACATCTTTCTCCTGCAAAACAGAACAGGCAACTACAGAGAGACCAAAGCTTATGAGTGGTTACCAGGGGCAGGTGGCAGGGAAATAGCGAGAAAGACACCATCCTGTGTTTTGAGAGATAATGAGCTTCTGCTAAGGGTGATGGAAATATATGTGAAAGGATAATGGTGATGGTTTTACAACATGATGAATGCAAGTGATATCACTTAATTGTACATGTAAAGAATGGTAAAGTGGCAAAGCTGATGTTAGATGTGTATCTGCCAAAACTGGGGAGGAGAGAGCAGGGAGTCTCCCACTGCCCTCACCAGGCTTGTCCTTGTCTCAGTCCCTTGGCCTCATGTCTGCTCTGGGCTACTACATCCCCTAGCAGATCACGGACCACGAAGCAACCCCGAGGTATATGGATGAAGAACAAAAAGCTGGCCCTACTTTATAAAGGTGGACAGGGCAGCAGGTATGTCTGCACCTATATCTCTCTATAAGCCTGGCTTCTCTCCTGCAAGCCGCTGTCAGCATCCCCCAGCCCTCAGGCCTCTCCCAGGGGCTCCCTTACTCCTGGGCAGTCACACATACACTGAGCAGGGCACGCTGCTGCTTGCAGCCAAGGTGCAGGGACCTGTGTGCAGGCTCCCACCCCTGGCCCCCAAGGAGCCTCTAGAGCCAGGGAACGTGTCTGCAGCTGGTAGCTGTCACAGGAGCATCAAGCCCAGGATGTTGACACCAGCTCTCATTTACACAAGCCCACTTCTCCCCAAGAGATGGGTTTCTAAAACAAACAGCATCTACATATGTTGACAGGCACAGTCGTGTCAGCATCAGGGATCCCCAGACGGAAATGGGCGTCAATCTGGGGCAGCGACTGCTCACTCAGGCCTATTTTAGTGCATTTCTTCTCTGTGGAGAAAAAGGAACCTCGGAGCAGATTGTTTCGGCTCCCCGGCAGGAGTCCCTAGAGACGTCACACTCTCCTGCGGAGTCTGCTCCAAGCACACCTCACTCTGACATCACCAGTACTCCGCTGTCTGTCTTTCTGTGTCACCCTGTGCTACTGGGAGCTCTCCCAGCCTGCACTCAGGCCCCACCAGGGTCTGAATGCCCTACTCTGCTGGAAAAGGGCTGTCCACCCACACCGTTTCCTGACATGCCAGGGCCGAGGCAGCTCCACATCAACGTGAGAGCTTGGGTATCTGAAAAATGAGGGAGTGTCTAAAACTGGAGTATTTGCCAACCTGACTCAGGCCACAAAGGGCTCAATGAAGGAACAATTATTTCCAAATATGAGGAAAAGTCAGGTTTGGAAGCTTGGATGACCTATGCCAATGCATCCTCTTTTCTTCATTTTGCCTGTAAGGACTTAAGAAAGACAGAAGAACTTCATAACTTTTTGTGTTGCTCCCAGGATAGAGTAAAAAAAGGTTCAAACAAAAAACAATCCACACAGGAGGGGGTCAGGCAACCACTCAGGGTCTGATAGAGGAACATGGCCAGGCCAACCTCATCACAGATGACGGGGTGAGGCTCCAGACGATGGACTGGCTTGGATAATTCCAGGTTGAAATTAGCTCTGGGAAGACAGAGTAGACCCCAACCCAGATCTGTCTATATGGGCTCCACCCTTGGGGCATTGTGGGATTGAACAGAAGGGTTCTGAGTGTTACAGGTTACCCTCCAGGGCACTGGCCCCCTTGGGACTCAAGTCTCAGGTGCTAGTGGATGAGAGCTTGGACCTGACCCAAAGAAGGGTCTCCAGAGCGGTTACCATGACTTTGGGTGTCTTGAGGCGCAGGCAGGAATGTCAGACTCATTACAGAGCTTGGCTGCTGCATCAGTGGCTTGACCTCCCCACATGCATAGGTGTCTGTCACCAATGTGGGCATATGACCAAGTCCACATGGCCCTAGGTGAGAGAGATGAAGGGAGAATTACTGACTAGCTAAGAGTCAGGGACAGGGAGAGGGGCGTATGCATTTCCCTAGGTGGCACACCATGCTTCATCCTCCATAGCTAGGGCCAAACCCAAGAAAAAGAAAAGTCACGTACCAATCCCGTTCTCAGCCAGAGCTTCATGGTTCACGTCACAGTCACCCATGTCTTGCTCACCAATGTGGTCATTCAAATCCAAACCGGGCTGATGGGACCCATTTCCAAAGTGTCTCTCGTCCTTCTCAGAGCCGGTGTCCCCATTTTCTATTCCATTCTGCACCTTTTTCAGGGGCATGATTTGCAAACCACTGGGGGTAGTCCTGTAAGATACAGTCTTGGTGGCCCTGTCACCTCCTGTGGGGGGCTTTGTGGAATACCCTTTTTTCGGCTTGGCGAGCGAAGGGTTTATTCGCTTCCTTTTATGGGACGTCCCTTTGCTCTTTCCTGATTCTGAAGGTCTGTGGGAGAGCTTCTCAACTGATGGCCCTCGACTGTCACGCAGGAGCTTGGAGGCACTGGACTGCTTCCCTGACTTGAGCCTCTTGTCCTTGGATACATGCAGCCCATTGAACTCATCAATGAACTCCTCACAGTGCAAGAGGTGGTGCTCCGGCTCCCACGTGTCCTCCGTGCTCCCATACCCTTTCCATCGGATCAGATACTCCCATTTTCCTTTCTTGTTCTTCCGCTTGTCTACAATCCTTTCAACCTGGGATATGAGATGAGCGAGCCAAAAAAAGAGAGAGAAGAAGAAAATCAGTCCCAGGCAACAAGAATAGCACAAAACCCTCAGGACAGAGGCACCAGTTCTGGCCATGGGTGACCCCTTCCATCCTTGAAGCCAGCACTTCCAGGAGAGCACAAGTAGGCTGCTTGATTCTAGGACATCACTGAATCGAACCAAGAGCACATAATTATTTCCCATGGAGGCTGCAAAGCACCATACCTGGCTGATACCAATCATCCCCTGTCTATCGGGGACCTACTCTTGTCTGAAATTGTACTGCAAACTTTCACCAGAGATATTTCTTCTTTTCTTTGCACCAGTGTAGACTCACATTTAAAGACCAATTTAATGTGATTTTTCCATCCTTATCATCATCATCATCATCATCATCATCATCATCATCATCAGGTGGAGGAGGAAAAGGAAAGGGAAAGAAGAGGAAGACAAAGAAAAGGAGTAGCAAGAAGAAGAGGAGGAGAATTAGAGAGAAAAGCAGCATTTTATTAAACATTTATTGAACATATTAGGCACTACGTTACCATTGTCTTTTAACAACACTAATAATGAGGAATATTTATTAAGCACTTTTAAGGCAGACACAATACTAAATACTGAGCAAACACTCGTTTCCATTTCTTTGTCATCTGACAACAACCAAATGAGGAAGGTATTCTTTCTATCCCCATTTATAGTGAGAGAGCTAGGGCTCAAGAGAGATCAAGTAATTCAGCTAAACCCCAAAGTTGATAAGGGAAGAATTGGGGCTTGAACCTACTCTGATTAAGAAAACCTATTCTCTTCATCATCAGGCTCTACTAACACTCTTAATTGCATAAAAACTCCTCATTAATCCCAAGGGGGGAGCTAATGCATTTGACTGCCAACCAGAAGGCTGGGGGTTCACACCCAACAGCCACTCCTCGGAAGGAAGATTGGGCAATTTACTTCCGTAGTGATATCACCTCAGAAACCCAAAGAGGGGTTGCTATGAGTCAGGACCAACTTGACGGCAGTGAGTTTGGTTTTTGGCTTGGTAATCCCAAGGGATTTGAACCAACAAGGTCCAATCCTCCACTTTCAGCCCCTCCCCTAGCATGCTATGTGTACCTCTCCCTCTGCTTTAATTGTTCATTGGTTCAAATAGCAACAGGCTCATATCAACCATATTTCCTACACCAGCTGCCCACTAACCTATCTAAGAAAATTACAATTGCTCTGGACCCAGGATTACCCAATCAAAGATTTGTCAGACTCTTGAAGGAAAGCTTCCAAAGTAGTGGGTATGGATTGAGAAACTTTGGAGGCTGTCACATGTTTTCACTTCTGCAAGGAAAAAACAAGGGCAAAAAAGAATAAAGGCAAAAGAAGCTGCCCATATCTGTTTTCTGCCCATACATACACCAGAGCCCCATCCTTACAGAAAAAACAGCTCATTCTCCTAACACTGGACATCAAAATCCTCAGGAGGATAAAGATAAGAGAGTTCTTGGAAAAGCCTGGCATGGATGGTTTCTGGTTTAGAACAGTAACTTATTCAGACACCCTAGCAAAGAATAAGGAAAAGAATAAAAGGTTTTTCCCATTTCATCCTGTGTGACTGCACAAGGGAAATGACTGCCGATCCCCAAAATTTGGGGGTCAGATCCATGTAAATCAAGGATCTGGTTGGGGGATTTGTAGCATCCAAGTTATGAGGGGAACCATGATGAGCTACCATGTCCCACCCACCATGATGGCTGGGATGGCTAAGAACAACAACAAAAAAATGGATAATAACAAGAGTGGGCAAGGATGTGGACATACTAGAACTCATCTACATTTCTAGTGGGAATGTAAAATAAAATAGCACAGCCACTGTGGAAACATTTTGGAAATGTCTCAAAAAGTTAAACATAGAGCTACCATATGATCCACTCCTAGTTACATACCCCAGAGAAATGAAAACATATGTCCACACAAAACTTGAACATGAATGTTCATAACAGCATTAATTATGATAGCTAAAAGTGGAAACAATCGAGATGCCCATCAATGGATGAATGGCTAAACAACAGAAATTGTTCAGCCATAAAAAGAAGTGCTGGCATGTGCTACAAACTGGATAAATCTTGAAGATGTGCTAAATAAAAGAAGCCAGGCATAAAAGCCTACACATGTAACATTAAACATTACATCTTTAGTCAGACATAAAAGGTTGCACAAAAGATACGAATCCTTTTTTTAGGAAATAACCAGAATAGGCAAATCTACAGAGATGAAAAGCAGATTAGCAGCTGCCAGGGTATAGGGCAAGTAGAGAGTACAGAATGCTAAGTTAGTAGATACAGGATAGTCTTCAGGGATCATTAAAAAGTTTTGAAACTATGGACAGATTTAAGATCATTGTGACTGCACACACACACAAATTGCCATTGAGCTGATTCAGACAAATAGTGACGATCCTGGAAGGCAAAGTAGAGCTGCCCCATAGGATTTCCAAGGTTGGAGTCTTTACAGAAGCAGAATGCTACGTCTTTCTTCCACAAAGCAGCTGGTGGTTCGAACCACTGGTCAAGCAGGCAAGCACCTAACCACTGTACCACCAGAGTTTCTAAAACTGTTGATTATATGTTATATATGTTTCACTTCAATTTTAAAAGAAAACAGTGATGAGGAGGGCCAAGAGGAATTCTTACACCTACTCTGATGGAAAATGCCATACCCTGATACACCTCTCTTTGATCAAGAACAAACAAACAAACAAAAAAACTAGTAAAAGAATTATCATCATAAGGCATAGCTAGAAACATGTCTAAAGCATATGAGAACATAACTAAAAATTTCTTGGTTAAATTATACTAATGAAAGTATTTACTGATACACATTTTTAGACATTATTTTTGCTGTGTTTCCAAAGAATACCAAAAATAGAACTTCTGTGTTTAAAAGACAGAGACAGCAGTAAATGATGAAATGAGAATCAGTTAAGTTCAGAGGCAAGCTGAAATGAAAGGATTTATTTCTATAAAAAACAAGATGTAAGAAAACAAAAGAAAAAGTGCAAGCAAAGAAATGAAATTCCCACTGGAACCAGGAAAAGACAGAATCAACATGCAGAAAATCAAATCAGTGATGTAGACAACACGCTTAAAGAGCTCTCCAAGAACACAGAAGAAAAGGACACAGAGATTTTAAAAAAACATTAAGAAGAATGAGAACAGACAACTAGGTAAGTTCACAGAGATCTAACCAACATAAGGATGGCAGAGGGAAACATCAAACTATGACAGGAACATTAATCAAGGCACAAGAGAAGAATTCTGTACATTCTAAGACTGGAGGTCAAAAAAAGAACTCAGATATGGATGGGAGGCAAGGCTGAGAATACATCAACTTTATGTCTATCCTTGTAACTTCTTAACTTAAAAACATTAAACTCCCATCCTCCCAGCCCAACCCTGTTCCACCAAAGCAGTAAGAACAAAAATCAGGAAGCCTTCAAAAGGCAAGGATAAAATTACGTCACAGGGTACATGAAATACAAAGGTGTGATTAGTGACAATAACAACAAAAGGGAGGAGCAAAGAATGGTATAGATACAGAATTTATTGATTGTTACTGACATTAAGTTGGTACCAACTTACCCTAAAATGTTATAAATGCAAGCTCTTAAATATAATAATCATGGTAACCACTAAAAAACATATATAAAAAACATACATGAATGGAAAGAAGGGAATTAAAAAGGCTCACTACAATAAACCAATAAAACCCAAAAGTAAGCAGAACAGAGGACAAAGACAAAGAAAGCTTAAGACACACAAGAAACAAAAATGGTAGAAGCCAGTCACTCTGTGTTTCAGTTATCTAGCGCCACTCTAACAGAAGATACCACAAATGGGATGGCTCTAACAACAGGAGTTTATTCTATTAAAGTTCTGGAGGCTAGAAATCTGAGTTCAAAGTGCAGGCTCCAGGGGCTGGGTAAAAGCCCCTCAATCTTGGGCTTCAGCTCTGCCTCCTGCTCCTGGCCCACTGGCGCTGGAGGCTTTTCTTCACTCAGACAGCTGCTGACTGCTGAGGCTGATAAGCCCAGTGTGGACAAATACAAGGGGACAGTCCCAACAGTACCACACCACACAGCAGGCCACTAATTCAAGTCCTGAAAAAGTCCCAACATCAGCAGGGCAACATGGCAGCCTGGTGAACAACGACTTGGCTACACTCAGAGTTCAAGAGTTCCATAAGCTAGAGACCTTCCTCAAAGCTGCTTCTTATATACTGGAAGAAGACCACATCCCTAAAGCAGCTACTCAGCTAGTCCAGGAGATTCCACCTTGGAACTGATTGCCAATCTCACCATGGAGAATAACTACATCCAGTCACTCAACCAGGCCCAGTCAGCCAAGTTGACACACAACCATAACTACCACACACCTTATCAGTAATGACAGTGAAAATAAATAGACTAAATGCTCCAATCAAAAGGCAGAGAGTGCCAGAATGGATTAAAAAACATGATATAAGTATATGCTGTTAACAAGAGACACAAAAAAAAAACCCAAAGGCACACACAGATTGAAAGTGAAAGGATGGAAAAAATATCCATACAAATAATAACCAAGAAAGCTGTGGTGGCAATCTTGGAATCAAAGAAGGTGTTAAGACAAATCTGTCAGAAGAAATTAAAATGGACATTATATAGTAATAAAAGGGTCAATTAATCAAGAAGATTTCATAATCATAAATACACATGCATCCAACATCAGGGCACCTGAATATATAAGGCAAACAGTGATAGACTTGAAGGGAAAAGTAGATAGCACTACAATAATAGTTGGAGACTTCAATACACCACTTTCAATATTGGACAGAACATCTAGAAAGAAGATCAGCCAGGCAACGGAGGATGTGAATGATACTATAAACCAACTAGACTTAACTGACATATATAGAATTGTTGTTGTTGTTATATGCCTCCACCCCAAAATGTACAAGAAACA